GGGGTCCCTGTGCAGTGGGTTCCCTGTGCCAAGGGGTAGAAGTGGGGGCGGGGTCCCTGTGCCAAGGGGTAGTAATGTGGGGTCCCTGTGCCAAGGGATAGAAGTGGGGGCGGGGGTCCCTGAGCAGTGGGGGGTCCCTGTGCCAAGGGGTAGAAGTGGGGGCGGGGGTGCCTGTACAGTGGGGTTCCCTGTGCCAAGGGGTAGAAATGGGGGTCACTGTGCAGTGGGGGGTCCCTTTGCCAAAGGGTAGAAGGGGGGGCGGGGGTCCCTGAGCAGTGGGGTTCCCTGTGCCAAGGGGTAGAAATGGGGGGTCCCAGTGCAGTAGGGGGTCCCTCTGTCAAGGGGTAGAAGTGGGGGGCGGGGGTCCCTGTGCAGTGGGGGGTCCCTGTGCCCTTTGGCCGGACCCGCACCTGAACAGCACCAGCACTTGGTTGACGCGGGGCTGGAAGAAGGTGACCCGGGGCCGCGAGACCTTCTGCTCCTCCATCCCGCCGGCTGGCCTGGGCTGGGCCGGGCCCCTGCCTCGGGGGCGGGCGTGTCACAATGGCCGGGGGAGGAGGGGTCTGGTGGGTGGCGATCCGCGGCGGGATCCCGGGGGAGGCCCGGCGGGTGCGGGGTCCCGGGGGCGATCCGGGGGGGATCCCGGGGGTGGTTCTCGGGTTCGTCCCGCAGCGCTGGAGGCGGCGGCGATTGTCCCTGCGCGGGCCCCGTGGCCGGTTGCCCCGGAGACCGGGGGGCTGCGCGGTGTCGAGGTCAGAGGCAGGAGGCGCCGCCGGGGGTGACGGGGGGTGAGTTCGGGCCCGGGGGGTGAGCGCAGCCGGGCGGGGACCTCCCAGCCCATCTCCCGGGGTCAGTGCTGCCCTCCCGGGGCCCCGGCCCAGCCCGCCGGCAGCAGGGTGGCGGGAAGGCCCCAGCTCCGGGAGCCCCTTCGCGGCTGGTTATTTCTGTGCGGAGCGGGGGGCTCCCGCTGAGCCTCGCCGGGGTGCGGATTGGCTTGGGCACGGGCCGCCAGCTAGAGGGTACAGCACAGCCCTCCCTACCCACCATCTCACCTCTTGGGGCGGTGCTGACTCACCCTTGTCCGTGCCCAGCGCCCACTGAGCCTCCCTGCTTGGGTCACCCGCCTTCCAGTGCTAGCGCTTTGGGGCAGGCTGTACAGCGCCGGGCACCACGGAGTCCTGGACCATGTCTGGGGCTGCTAGACACAACCGCAATACCGATAAATTACCACACTGGGCTAAAAACAGAATGATAATAAGTCACCAGTATTCACAGCACGGAGGCTGTCGGAGTCCTGTGTTCAAACAAAAGGTTACAAGTGAGAATAAAGTCTCCCTCTACGCTGCCTGCCCATGAGCCAGGGCCTGCCTCCATTGAGAGAAGGGCCGGGGAGCCTCATTATAGCCCTGTTATGTTTCAGGATTTCCAAGTCTCAGGAACTTGAACATTCACCCCCCCCCCCCCATCAGCTTTACAAAGGTGCAGCCTTTCAATGTTTACTCCCACACGTTCCCTTCCTTGAAAGCCACACACACACTCAGCTCACCGTTTTTCTACACCTTCTGCCCTAAACTATTGTGGACTCAGAAGTGGGTGCATTCAGGCTGTGGGCAGTGGTCGTTGTGTGTACAATGGTTTGTTAAGCACTGTGGGATCCTTTGGTGCATTAGGATTTGAAATGATTGTAATGATAGCAAAGTAACCCATTTAATTTCTCCACTTCCCTCCATTTTGCATTATGTGTTGAGGTCATTGGCTATCTTTCACCTTGCACTTTATGTAACCTTGTGAGACTGTTCGTGCAGCTGTGCAGGGGTGGCCAAACAGTAGCTTTGGGATGCAGAAATGGCCTCTCCTTGAAGCACTCTGAATTCAGCTGTGGTGCAGTACTCTAGGCTGCAGGAGATAGCATGCCCCCCTGCTCCTGTTTGCTGCTATAGTTGCCACAGTTTCATAGAGACAGAGCAGGAGTGTAATCCTAAAGCAGAAACAGCAGTGTTCTGCACCAAAAGGGAACCAGTTTCACTAAGGGTCAGTGGGAAAGAGAGCAGGTAAGCACCTGAGAGTGTAAATCCTGATACTAGCACTTTGAACTGACATAGTACCTGCCATTTGAGGAGTTCAGTGCACTTTATAAACTATAATTTACTCTCATATTTGTAACCCCAACTCACATGTAATCTGTAAATGAATCCTAATGCTGATCTTTACTCTCACCAGCAATCCATAATGCTGAATGTAAAATGAACCATTTACCTGAAACCTATAACTGGTCATGCCAAATCCAGTCCATATTTGTAACTCTAACCCACAGCTGTAACTCATGTGCAACTTAATCTGAAACACACAACCCAATCTTAACCCTATACATAACCCAAGCTCATAACCCAATAAACTGCAAGCATTGACTACAGTTAATACATAACCCATGTTTGTAACCTAAACTCATAATTTTAAACCCATAATACATCATTTTATATTTCTATAAAACTTTTCATCCACATAGCACTATACAAATAGGCTTTGAAGGATTAGATTTTTATCAGTAAATGTCGGTTTTACTTTATACACATAAACCAACGAAAAAAGTATTTCCATGGCTGATAGAAGTTACAGACATACAAAGAATAATGCTGCTTTATGTTGACCCCCCATAATTCATGCAAAAATGCAAACATTTAAATCAATAACCATTTAATTAAAAAATATATATCTGTTGACATTATTTAAAAAAAATCAGATTCTGCCAAGCCTATATATAAATATCCAAGCATGAGGCTGCCCACCATAGATTCCACCTGGCTGGAAAAAGCAAGGCTGGCCCCAGTGGTTCATGCTGCTGCCCAGCCCTCTCTGTACAATACCACTGTACAATATAGGGCCTGGGTTTTTCCTTCCTTTTGGCCATAGCTCAGTATCGTACAGTGGGCTCCTGTAAATTTCTAACTTGTTGTGAAAGCTGGAGGAAGGGATGGAGCTAATTCTGAAACCTGTTTAATTGCTGCTTAGTATTGTTCAACAAAGACTTGTCTACCTGAGAGAGAGCCTGTATTCTAATACAGTGGTTCTCAACCAGGGGTACATGTACCCCTAGGGGTACACAGAGATCTTCCGGGGATACATAAACTCATCTAGATATTTGTCTAGTTTTACAACAGGCTACATAAAAAGCACTAGCAAAGTCAGTAGAAACTAAAATTTCATACAGACAATGACTTGTTTATACTGCTCTATATACTATACGCTGAAATTTAAGAACAGTATTTATATGCCAATTGATTTATTTTATAATTATGTGGTAAAAATGAGAAAGTCAGCAATTTTTCAGTAACAGTGTGCTGTGACACTCGTATTTTTATGTCTGATTTTGTAAGCAAGTAGTTTTTAAATGAGATGAAACTTGGGGTACACAAGACAAATCAGACTCCTGAAAGGGGTACAGTAGCCTGGAAAGGTTGAGAGTCACTGTTCTAATATAGCAGCTGAGATTGGTGGGTTTAGATGTGTCCCTAGAGAACTGTCTTGAAAGGCTGGGCACAGTGCCTTCTCCATTGTGGGTCCGTTACCCTGCGATGCCCTTCCCTAGTAGACATCTAGGGCATCCTTCCTTGTAAGCCAGGCTAAGGCTTGCTGCAGGTGTTTGTGGTACAGAGTGTGCTTACTGTACTTGCTCTTGGATTTATTTGTTTGGCAGTTTGCTTGTCCTGAGCGTGAACTCCATTAGGCTGTGGAATAGTATCCTGGAGAAGAAGTGAAAACCCCTTTCACCTGTGACATCAGATGGAATCACTTTGCATTTATAAAGCAATCATGCATTGGCTGGGAGCTGGACTGGATGAGGCCTAAGACAGCTTTTCCATCTTTAACATGGATGATTCTAGATCTAGTTAATTTTTAAAGCACGTGAAAACTTCACCGTTACTAGTTTGGTGGCAGCAACCTACTGTCTTCAGTCTCCCAAGTGTCTTCTCTCTGTTTTCTCTAGGCAAAGAGTGTGACGATGCAGCCCTCCGTTGCAGCTGGTTTATAAAGTTTGCCTTAATGAATACAGTTTTTGGCTCTATTCCCATCTTATTCAGGCATCCGTCCATTTATGGCCTGTCCAGGATTACCAGTAGCCTGTACCTCAGCAATGGTACGGCTGCCAATAACAAGCTCCTGCTCTTCGCCAGCCAAATCACTACTGTCATCAATGTGTCCGTGGAGGTGGTGAACACCTTCTATCCAGACATTCACTACATGCACATCCCTGTAACTGACACCCCCATCTCTCGCCTCTACGATTACTTCGATCCCGTGGCAGATAGGATCCATAGCGTGGACCTGCAGCAAGGCCGGACACTGCTACACTGCGCTGCAGGCATCAGCAGGTCAGCTGCCCTGTGTCTGGCCTATTTGATGAAGTACCATGCCATGTCTCTGGTGAATGCTCATGCCTGGGTCAAGTCCTGCCGACCCATCATCAGACCTAACAATGGGTTCTGGCAACAGCTTGTCCAGTATGAGTATAAACTCTTCGGCACCAATACAGTCCGAATGGTCAACTCTCCACTGGGCTTGATTCCGGATCTCTATGAAAATGAAGTAAGAATAATGATAGCGTTTTGACTGTAACTAGCTTTACCACATCTCGTGAAGGAGCCCAGAGAGACAACGAAGGAGCAGCTCAGCTTGATCAAGTTTGGAACTTGGACAATAAACTCTTCAGCCCAGTGAGGTTTGCTACGTCGCTCCCTGCTGATAGAAGTATAGGGGATTAGTTGAGATGAATGGGGCCGTCTGATTTTTACTATAAATAAAACCAAATTTAAACTACACTGTTGGGTTTCACATCCCATTTGTATTGAGTTCTCACAGGAGCTCTAGGTGCTGTCTCAGTGCTACTGGTATGTGTTTAGAAAGCATCCTTTTATCCCAGCATAGCGAGATGTTAGCCATCTCTGGCTCTGTTCATGCTCAGGGATAGATTCCAGTGGAAACTGAGAACAATGGGAAAGTTGCCAACAATTCTTTTTCTAAGTAGGAATTGAAATGAAGTGTTCTGAAAAACTGACCCCAAGCCCCATCCTCTGCTGTGCTGCAGAGATGCTAGAGATGTCCCCTGCATCCCTGTTGCCAGAGGGTTAAGGATTCCCTGCCTTCTCCTTTCACCTCTGCACCTCATTGCCCTCACTGCCTTTCTGCTGGAGGATGCATAGGCACTTCTCCCTTCAGAAATCTTAATTATCTGAGCTTTCGTGGGCTTATGCTCAAATAAATTTGTTAGTCTCTAAGGTGCCACAAGTACTCCTGTTCTTTTTGCAGATACAGACTAACATGGCTGTGTAACAAGTCCTCTGTCTGGCCTTCTTCCTGGGGCCCACTGGCTGCCCCAATAAAGCACGGAGAGGCTTTTCCTTCTGCAGCACCCGTGGCTTTATTTACATACTTCTCCCACCACCAGTGATATACTATATATAGTTTGCAGGCCTTACAATCTCCACTTCCACCCAGACCCTGCCCTCAGCCCAGAGACTGACCTTCCCCTGGCCATCCCCCCTTCCTTCTGGCCGCCAGTTCTAAATGCCAGGCACCAGACCTCTTCCCAGCCCCAATCTATTTCCCCTGATTGGGGCTGGCTGAGCAGGGGCTAATTAGGTGCCTCTGCACCAGCATCCTGCTACACACCTCCCCCCTTAAGCTGGTACCAGGCCTGGTCTTCCTCGGCCTCGCTTTCCTCATCCGGGGATTTTACTCTGGGGTTGGGCCTCCTTAGGGTGACCAGATGTCCTGATTTTATCGGGACCGTCCCGATATTTCCTTCTTTGTCCTGCATCCCGACAGATGTTCGGTTGGGACACTGGACAAAAAAGCAATTTTGCCCTCCACTCTGGCGCTCACCCCCCCCCGACTCCGCCCCCTCCTTCCCCCATTGGAGCCCTCCATGGAGGGAGGAGGGATGTGTAGAGGGGGAATGGAGGGAGGAGGGTCGGGCATCTACCAGGAGCGCGGCAGGGGAAGGGAAAGTTGCCGCAGCTGCTAGGGGCTAGCTGGGTATGGCCCGGGCTGCGTGCAGGCAGCAGCCGGGGCTAGCTCTGGCCTGGGTGGGCGGCGCGGACCGGGGGCGTGGGCCGCTGGAGACACACGGTGCAGAGGGGCTGCGGGGGCGAGACTTGTCCCAGGCAGGGCAGCCGGCGAACAGGGGCGAGGAGCCGGCCGGGGTCCCCTGAACCCATAAACTTCCCCCGCCGCTGCCGGGGAGCCCCGCACCTCTCCCGCTCAGCTGCACTCCAGCAGCTCGTCCCGCCAGGAAGGTGCTGGGCTCCCCACCGGCGGCGGGACGTACCGCATGTGCCCATTGCGTGCTGGGGGGGCGGGAGGCTCTGCGGGGCCGGGAAAAGCCCCGCCTCCCGCCCGCTGCCCAGCCCGGAACTCCGGGGAGACCCTTGGGAGACCGGCCACCGCTGCGGCTCGGCTGTGCCAGCCCCGGCCCCCTGCACGCCCGTGCCACCCCCGGGGTCCCCGGCCCCCATGCACTGATGCTGCCCCATGGCCAGCCCTGGGCTCGGGGGCTCCTGCAGCCGCTTCCAGGGGAAAGACAGCTTTGTCCCTGCCCGGTCCCGCTACGGGGCTCTGCCTCCTTGTACTCATCCAGCCTGTATCCTGCCCAGGGCCCCGCTGGAGTCATACGCCCTTGCCCACCCGGACTTCTTTGCTTCCCAGCGCTTCCTCTCGGTCCCTCCCGATGCCCTCTTTATCTCCAGCCCCCTCTGCATCGGGGCCACCTTTTGCCCTGGAGTGGGCAGCGCGCGCGGCCGGGGCGCTGTGTACGATCCGGCAGCGCGTCTGGGGCCTGCTAATGCCCCCCGTCCCTGCGAAACTGCTGTGTGTTTTTTTTTGCTCTGCCCCTCCCCCGCGTCCCGATATTTCATTCCTGTGATCTGGTCACCCTAGGCCTCCTGCCCAGCTGAGGGATCCCCAGGCACCACACCAAGGGGCTTTGGCATGCTCCACCCACAAAAGGTGCATTAGGTAGGAGGCGGGGCACTCCACATGTCCACACTCACCCAGAGGCCCTCACACCAGTCACATGGTTGGGTCGGCCGCCCCGGAGGCTCCCCTTCCTTTTCTAGTGCGGGTGACGGCTCAGAGCCCTCTGCCCCGAGTCAGCCCCCTGTCTCTGGTCCAGGCCCTCTGTCCCTTTGATGTTGGGCCTCCCCCTGTTGGGTTTCTTCCACCCTCCCCGGGGGTCCCCCCTCCCGGGCGCTCCTGCCCAGGAAGCTCACTTTGCTCCTCAGTGACTCCCTCAGGCTCCCTATTTTGGCTTGGTTGTCTAGGCTGCTCGGCTTTTCCCCCTGGAGGTCATGGGGCCACCCCTTGCCCCGGGTCCACCTCCACCAGGGTCTTGCCCTCTCTTTCCAGGGTTCTCTTTCCCCCTTTCTTTGACGGTCCCTTCTCTGTGGTCTCTCTCCCCTTCTGGGGAGGGCGCCAGTCCAGCCCCAGGACCACGGGGTAGGCCAACCCCTGTATTACCCCCACCCGCTTCCAGGTAAACTGCCCTTGCACTTCAAGGGGTACCTGGATCACGGGACAATATTCCCTATCCCCGTGGATGCATTCTACTAACATGCGTTCCCCAGGGATGAGCCAATGTGGCTTCACTAAGCGCCGCTGTATAAGGGAGCGAGTGGAGGCTGTATCCACTAGACCCCTCTGGGGCCTATTCCCAACCCGCACCGGGATAGTGGCCAATCCGTGCCTCTTTTTCTGCCCCCCAGTCTTAGTCCATCCACAAAATTCAGCTGCCTCACACTCCATCACCGGGCAATCCCGGCTTTTGTGTCCCAGCTGTCCACACCACCAGCATATGAGCTGTCCCAGGCGGCTAGGGGTCCCCTTGGGCTCCTCCCGTCGCCCGTCTACCAGCTTCACCCCGGCGTGCTCACGGGGTTTCCTGCCCCCCTCTGTGTCCTTCAGGGCTCGATGCTCCCTTGGTGGGAAGTCAGCCTCTGCATACTCCTCTGTTCTTTGCACGGCGGCTTCTACGGTGGCCGGCTGATGTCGCCGCACCCAAACCCACACGCTATTGGGAAGGCACTGGATAAACTGTTCAAGGATCACCTGATCCATTATCTGTCCCACGGTGTGGGCATCGGGTCTCAACCATCGTGTTGCCCAGTCTGTTAATTTTTGAGCAAAGGCCCGCGGTCGCACGACCCCCGCCCACCGGGCTGCCCGAAACTTCTGCCGATATTTCTCAGCCGAAAGCCCGATGTGGTCCAAAATCGCTGCCTTCACAGCATCATAGTCCCTGACTTGGGCATCCGTCAGGACCATATACGCAACCTGTGCCTTCCCTGCAAGATAGGGGGCCAGCCGCAGGGCCCAGGTTGTCCGGTCCCATCCCGCACCCAGGGCCACCCGCTTGAAGGTACCCAAAAAGGCGTCGGGGTCATCTGCTGGGGCCATTTTACAGAGGCTGAGGCCCGGGGGCCGGATGCCATCTCCCCCAGCAGGACTCACCAGCTTTTGCAGGAGCTGCTGATGCACTGTCGACTGCTCCTTGATGAAGTCCTGTAGGGCTCTCTGTTGCTCTGCCTGCCAAGCGAGTAGAGCCTGCCTCTCCACCTGGTGGGACTGCTGGAATGACTGCAGTGCTTTGTATCGGGGGTAGCCGTGTTAGTCTGTATCTACAAAAACAACAAGGAGTCTGGTGGCACCTTAAAGACTAACAGATTTATTTGGGCATAAGCTTTCGTGGGTAAAAACCTCACTTCTTCGGATGCATAGAGTGAAAGTTACAGATGCAGGCATTATATACTGACACATGGAGAGCAGGGAGTTACTTCGCAAGTGGAGAACCAGTGTTGACAGGGCCAATTCAATCAGGGTGGATGTAGTCCACTCCCACTAATAGATGAGGAGGTGTCAATTCCAGGAGAGGAAAAGCTGCTTCTGTAATGAGCCAGCCACTCCCAGTCCCTATTCAAGCCCAGATTAATGGTATTAAATTTAAATTAAATTAGTTCTGCTGTTTCTCTTTGAAGTCTGTTTCTGAAGTTTTTTTGTTCAATGATAGTGACTTTTAAATCTGTAATAGAATGACAAGGGAGATTGAAGTGTTCACTTACTGGCTTATGTATGTTACCATTCCTGATGTCCGATTTGTGGCCATTTATTCTTTTGCGGAGGGACTGTCCGGTTTGGCCAATGTACACGGCAGAGGGGCATTGCTGGCACATTATGGCATATATAACATTAGTGGACGTGCAGGTGAATGAGCCCTTGATGGTGTGGCTGATGTGGTTGGGTCCTCTGATGGTGTCGCCAGAGTAGATATGGGGACAGAGTAGGCAACGAGGTTTGCTAAAGGGATTGATTCCTGGGTTGGTGTTTCTGTGGTGTGGTGTGAAGTTGCTGGTGAGTATTTGCTTCAGGTTGGGGGGTTGTCTGTAAGCGAGGACTGGCCTGCCTCCCAAGGTCTGTGAGAGTGAAGGATCATTTTTCAGGATAGATAGTAGATTGTGGATAAT